ACACATTACACTCTATTGCATCCATATCATCTTATACATCAAATAAAATCATTGAAAATAAATTTTTGAATTCAACTTCTTTTGCAAAAAAAAAACACTTCAAATCCCTAGGAAAGAAACTGTTCTATGAACATTAAAGATAACTGAAAATAAATGGTATTCAGAGAAACAACTAGTAATATGGATTTATATTCAGATTGTGATTATGGACAATTTATTAGCCAGGTAATATCATTTTTGTTATATTTCTTGCTCTACCTAAGAATTTATTTTCAAAGAAATGAGAAACTGTTTTCAGGCTTCACAATATGATTAGAGATAATGAAATGAATATATTCACTCAACTTTTTGCCTACAAAGTGATTTTTTTAGCAGAAAATCCTGAGGCTATATTTTTTTACTTTCCTGGTATTTTGAATATATCACAGGAATAAAAGTTTTTGAGAAATCAATAATAAAAAATTTCTATTAAATGAGTGCATAGTTTTTAGCATTCACTGAATTATATATTGACAAATATTTTGTAAGATGAAACTCACCATCTGGGTAGGTACATTTTATATCAAAGGATGATTTTGGATGTTGTGCTTTCAGTTTTGTGATGATAATGGCATGTCTTGTAGCATCAACTTGCTGGGGTCCAGGAGTCCATTTTTTCATGGGGTATTAGTTTGATTTATTTTTTGATCACTTCCCTATAATGAATGAGGAACCTCATTTATATTATCTAGGAGCTGAAACAAATAGAAGAGATATCAGTTGTTCATATGAAATTGCTAATTTTTCAGATAATCACAGATGAGCAATGATGTAATATAAATTAAGGTACCTCCAGGTATCTCAATATCAGCATTGCACATTAACTTCATTATTCAGTTTTCAAAATACATACATTGTTTGGATAGTAAGTATATATACCTAGGTACCAAATATAAAAAGGACAGAGATTTTTGAAAGAATGGATAGGTTGGTATGTTGAATTCACCTAAAAGATACTTACCTACCTATTCCAGATCTACACTGCATCTCTTATACTGATGACAAGCAAAACATGAAGCCTCAGTAGATGAAAAATAATGATGATATTGTTTGGAAGCATGGAATTCAATATAGTAGCTGGAAATAGATAGATACTAAAATAACTAACTCTACAGCAATTTGTCTGTGATAGGCCTTTTGTTATGGTTTTGGTTATGGCTGGGTTCAATTTATCATTCATGTGTAGATAAACATCAAAGAAGAATGTGGATTTTTTTCAGTTTCAACTTCTGAGTATCAGGTACCTAATCATTTTGTGAAATAGGCCTGGATATAACTACACTACAGTAAGGTGGAGTTTTGTATTAGTGATTACTGCACTTACCTTATGAACAAACTAGTGGCAAGGGCACTGTTCATCTTTGTACATATTTATGATATTTTCGATTTGCACCAAACATAATCATATTATTATTATTTTATTGTGTACTTGTGATATGGTGAATTCCAAAGGTATATTGTGAGTGTAGGTGTACTTTCTTCCATTTGTTGCTCCTCTGCTGCCAATTATTGAACCTACTCATATCACAGTATCTCATTTCAATCAACTGACTTCTACACTGTTTTTCCAACACATTTTCACTGTTTTCAGGTTTCCAGATTCACTATTCACAATAAATATGAAAGAATTATCGCCCTTTTGTCAATATACCAACTCCACTTCCAGTTGTGACATTAGAATTCATAAAAATAATTTATTATGCCCATATGCCAATTCATGTGTATTTGTGGTTGCAGCGTTTCGGCGACTCGGCAAATACCTATAGAAACCGTTTTCAGATTCGTAAATTTTCCGTTTCTTCCATAATATGATGGAAATCTGATAAATTAATTGTCTTGTTATTGAAATTGAGCATTTTTCATGTCACCAAATTGACGAGAAAAATATGATCGACCTAGCGCCATCTATGAGAACTCTAGGAATTATTGTCAGTGTCATTAAAATTGACATAATCAAGTAGGCAAAAGTCTACACATTTTTCTAGTCTTTTGCAAGAGTAAGCTATTTCACCATATATCTATCCACCTTTGACATGATGTTTATTTTGATGATATAATCTTTCATGCCAAAGTTGAGGGTTTTCGGATGACGAAGTAACATAAACCTCACTAGAATTCTCCGGTTTGCAAGCAATCATATTCGGAACATACAACCCTTTCTGGTTTCTTCGTCCGCTCAGACGAATCACTCCACCTTTCTTGATAAAATAGCTATCCTGGTTAGCTTCAAAGTGGTAACCCTTGTTGAGAGTTTGCCCAACAGAGAAAAGGTTTCTCTTGATATCAGGTACATACCTCACGTTTTCAAGATGATTCATGAACGTTTTATTGTTTACTTCCATCTGAACATTGATATTTCCTTCACCGTAAGCCAAAATAACAGCACCATTACCGACCTGAACTTCTTTTGGAGTTACAAAGGGTTGAAAATCGATGAAATATTCATTGTTACTTGTCATGTGAGCCGATGCACCTGAATCAGCTAACCATTGCTCGTTGCTTCCAACATTGTTCTTCGTGCTCTTGGTCACACTAGAAAATGCAGCTCCTTCAGCATCTGCCTTGTTTGCTTCATCCAAGCGTTTCTTATTTGGACAGTTCTTGGCGAAATGACCGACTTCATGACATTTGAAATATTTCGTAACTGGTTTTGATGATCTTCCTAATCGTTTCGTGTTAGATTTAGCAACAAAAGCAGTTGTGTTGTCATTGGGCTTCACAGGCAATCTCATCTCAATCAGGCATAAACGTTCAGTCAGCTTGTTGATCGTTCTCTCGGTCACAGAAACTGATTCTCAAACACTTTCAAATTCGAAGTACTCACATGGAAGAGTAGACATAATTCTACTCATTAGCAACAATTCTGGTAATTCTACATGCACTAGCTTTTTCATTTCATCGTTCAGTTCACGAAAATTTCTTTGTAGTCTAGCTATGTGAGTAGCTATGTCTTCAGAAGGATCCTTTTGTGAACTGAAAAACTGTTCCATCAGTCTATCGACCCGTTGTCCAGAGCTCTGTTCATATACAGACAAAAGTTTCTCCCATGTAGAATTCGAGGTGTCGCAAGTCGCTGTTAGTTCGACATTTGCGTCATTCATGCTACCAACTAAAATCAGCTGAGCTAATGCATCTAGTTTATTGAAACGTTTCAAATCTGCATTGAACTGAATTATAGCTTCTGGTGTAGCAATATCACCTGGATCACCTGGAGATTGAATCTCTCCAGTTGTAACTTCGAGAACTTCATGATGTCTCAGCAAAAGCTCAATCTGTCTTCTCCATTTTGTCCAATTTGATGCTCCTTCTAGTTTATCGATATGTGCTTTGAACTCCATATCGTTATTTCCTTTCTTGTTTCTGCACTACCTTATGCGTATCCTGGGCCCATAACCTGTTGAGCTATGTGGTAGAAACTATAATTCCAATGGGAATTGCAAGGAAATCTACTTTATAAGAAGATACAAATCTGATTGACAATATTTTTTATTATCGACAGACAACTGAACTAATATCAAATAGAATGAATGGCACACTAGATCAACATATACAGGATGATAATTTTACAAATTCAACACTCGTCACATTCAAATTATAACAGGAATGGTAATATTATACAGGGTGTCTGGAAAGGTCATGTCGTAGGGCTGATAGAAAGAACCAGAATAATGTTAAGACTTTATAAAAAAATGCCTATCGCACTTCGTTACGGTGTTATGGACCTTGAGAGTTTGAATCAAAAAAATATATTTCATGTATAACTTTCAAACTGTTGCCATGGTTTCGATGATATTCAGAAAACTGAATTAACTTATACTGATCCTCCTTTAGATATGTAAACGGCTGTTCAGTTATTATGTTATGTATACAGGATGGGACGAATTGTTTCCGTTCAATGAAGACATTTTTAAGAAAATCGCACTTTGAAAACATACATCCGAACCATTTCAGAGGAAATAGAAACTCTATTTATTCAATAACGTCATGGTAGTTGCGGGGCTGGTGAAATGAGGCAAAATAATGTTAGTACTTAAAAAAAAACTACTAAAATAAATTTCTTTCGCACTTGAGATCTTGAAATTTTATGTGTACTTTCAAGGTAAATAACTCCGTAACGAGGTGCGATAGACTTCTTCTTTATATGAAGTACTATAACATTATTTAGGCTTACTCTATCAGCCCTGCAACTACCATGATGTTATTGAATAAATAGAGTGTTCATTGTTGAACGCGAAAATTTTGTCCCATCCTTCATAGAGTTAATCGAGGATAGATGGCGCAGAAGGTGTGAGATGGCGCAATGGTTCCACAGCGTCACCGTTTGTATTGAAGGATAGTGGATGTGCTCAGATGTACTTCATTCTATACTAAACAATCCGCCATATCGTTCGTCTTCACTGATGGTTGGAGACATATTCATATATCGTTGCATACGTGATCCGGTTGGGACAAAAGTATTTGTCCGAAGTAGTCATTCACACTAGTAAACTCTGAATTCAATGATAATTTAAGTCACGTTTAGTAGGTCAAAACATTCAAGTTTTGTTGTATAACCCCAAAATACGCATATTTCGAAACGTGTTTAGTTTTTGAGGTTCGCCATCTCTCCTTTCACAACGAGGATAGATGGATCTCAGATTTTCGAAGAGAGATGGCCTATTATTATTCCATTTTCTCTTCAGTATGCTTACAAATACATGCGCACTGAAAGTTGTTCCAGGGCTAGTTGGACCGAACAACAGTTAATCGCAGCCATTGAAGCCGTTAATGATAATACGATAGAAGTTAATGATGCTGCTCGAAATTTCGGGGTACCGGAACCAGTCTATGAAGAAGAAAATTGCATCAAAATTTGAAGGAAGAGCCTCTTAGATCCTCCTCAATATCGAGTGAGGTTGGCCCAACATATCCTTAAAATTAAAAAAAATGGTTCTGCTCCTACTCGAACGAACGTGCGGAGTATGGCTATCAAATTGGCCAAACAGTTGGGCATAAAACATCGTTACAATGAGGAATCGAGGTTAGCTGGATTTCCATGGCTACAGTTATTCCCGCAGAGAAACCCAAGGCTTTCAGTGAGAGAATCAGAAGGAGTTGAGGCATATTTTCAGCTGCTAGTAAATATTCTGACCAGAAACGATCACATGAATGAACAACATCCAATTGTTCCGCTCACCAAGTCATACTAACCAATTTCTACAACCGTCAGAAAGATGTTTTTTCAGATCCTTCAAATTCAACTACTAGTCCTGCAATTAATATATTTGAAATAACCCAGGACGAGAGATCACCAGATTACAATTTGAAGAGTTGATTGCTGAAGGATGAAATGAGCCTGCAACTGTAAATGACGGAACTTCGGAATTTAAGGCAACGGGAATTGTGCCATTCAACCCTTCTGCTATCCCAGATGACGATTATGTGTCTGAAAATTATAACATACCAGAGGTCTCTGATGCAGTTGAGAATATACGAGATCCTTATGGCAATTCTCGTAGTCTTGACAAAGCTTCAGCTTATGAAAATCAAAAACCTTCCTTTAGTTGGCAGACTGTAGGTGGAACTGTACCTGGAGAACAAAATGAACCGCATGCAGAAACTAATGCAAATACTCCTGATGACAATCAACTACCTTGTTGCAGTTGGCAGACTGTAGGTGAATCTATACCAGAAGAAAGCAATGAACCGCCTGCAGAAACTGATGCAAATACTCCTGTGAAATGTACCCCTGAAAAAATACTGAATATAATCTCACCGGTTGTTTCTGCTGCCATAAATTCGGTTCGAACCAGGAGCAAGCAGCTGGCCGAAATAATTTTAACCATACAGGCAAAAATTGACGAAAAAAGAAAGAAGGGACTAAGAAAACACATAAAGAAAAAAAGACCAGTAATAAACTGGAACTAGTTTTCAAGAAATCGCAAGTGACCAAGATTAAAACTAAGAAAGTTTCGAAACATGATTCATCTTCAGATAAAGATCTAGCAACACCAACATCGGATAACTCTTCATATGATATAAACGACGCTGACGTTGCGAATCGTGTTCCCAAACGACTAATCTGACGACTGGGTTGATTGTATACGTTGCCTCAAATGGTTTAATGATTCTTGCTCCAAGTTTGTTCACTTTTGCCATGAATGTGGAGTTGTTGTGTGCGAAACAAAGTGACATTTTGGCCAAAATATATTTTTTTCAAGTTTTGCCATCTCACCTCATCACTGTGGGGGAGATGGTATTCGTTGAGTATTTTAATTTTTCCTATGAATTTCAGTATTAAAACTTATTCCTAGAGTCAATGAAGAGTCGTTATAACATTGAACAGAAATTCAACGCATAAAAATGTCAACATAAAATATTGATCACCAATTAATTGAAATTATTTTCCAAATAATCCCAACACTAGTGGAACAATATTGAAATTGAAATATGTAAAATATCGTGAATTTGAATCGTTAACTTCCTTGTCATACGAGTCGGGTCGCACATTTTTCCAAAGAAGATGCGAGATATCTCGTAAAGATGGAAAGTCCTTCCGGAAGATTGAAATATGTACAATATCGTGGAATCGAATTTCTGACATTCATGTCTTGCGAGTCGAATCGCACTTTTTTCTAGGAAATTGCGAGATATCTTGTAAAGATGCTGTAGATGGAATTTCACCATAAGAGAAACTTTAAGAATATCCCCGTTTTCGACAAAAAAATACCTGATGATATAGCAAATCGCTTTTTGGTGGTTGAAGCCGTTTTGACTCAACAACAAATATTCAAACAGAGACGACCTCGCAACTATGTATAGGCTCGTGACGAAATCCTGTAATTATTGACTAAAATGTGACTATTTCCCTATTTAGCCTCTGCCTTCATCTCTACTATTAGGCGCTGTATTTATTATCGATTCGACTCTAAACCAATCAAGGGTAGCAATATAGGTCATACCTATAACCCTCATCATGAATTGATTTTTTTTACGATTAACCGTTTTCAAGAACAAAATCGCAAATTGGGTAGCAAAGTAGCCCTGTCACTGGGGTTTCATGGGCACTTCAACAAAATATTGAACGAAAATATTGCAGACTCATCGTGGGTTGACTTTTGCACCATTCATAGTTTTCATTCAGTTCTTGAACGAAACTCTTTCTCAATCTCTTCGAGCGCACGAAAGAAGATTCCTATGATATTCTGAGAAAATCGTTCTTTTGGCAAATAACTTTGACGTTCCATAGACGAACGAGTTTTTGTTTCGTATGATTTTTCAAGGACCTTGAGCCAGCCAAACGCGTGTAACATCGCACCATCTTTTGCGTGGCGAAGTGAGGTCTCTTTCATCATAATTGGAAGAATACATACACGTGTCTTCTATAATAAAATGAACTTAGCGGAATTGAATCTAATCCTCCTGAAAATAAAAGACCGAAAGTTAAGAATTGATACTTTTGAGCAAGAAAATCGGCAACTGCAAAGAATGGTTGAGATTGTGGAAAGGAAAAGTGAAAAACAACAATATTGTGGTTTGGTAAACGAAACTGAGGTAAACGATCTTAATAGTCTAGGCTGGGTAATCAACTGTCCAATCGAAATCGAATTTGTGTCCTATCTGAAGAAGATAGAAGAACTTGAGATCTGTAATGAACTGAATCATTTTTGTGAATTACTCAACGAAGCAAAGAGAAGAGCAACAAATACTGCGGAAATACCTGAGTCAAGAACATGAAAAGAATAATAGATGCTACATAAATGGCAACAAAAAAGTAGTGACCAAAGCTGAGAACAGGGCAAATAGTGTACCATCAACTCCTACCCAACAAAGATCAGTACAATTGCGAGAGAAATCGAGTAAGAATCAATATGAAGTACCAACGGAGCAAATCGTCCAGCCGAGAAAACTGAATAAACCAGAGGTGACCTACCGAACAGAGGAAACTCCAAAATTCGATGAAGTGGCACCAACAGTGAGCGGAGTCAAAAAGAAACAAACGTCCAAATGAGTGGAGAAATTCCATAGAACCCGCTCAACTTTCCGTAAATAATAGTAATCGCAAGTGAAGTTAGGTGTTCTTCCTCCGTATGTATCAGAATATTCCGCATTATTTTTATTTTTATCCTCTTCAAATATCATGATATGTATATACGAATGTATTCATGGAAACAATGAAGAAAAATCATAAGGGATTACAAGGTTGAACTAATAGACACTTTAGAAGTGGAAACATACTCTTGAGTACTGATATCTATGGATGAATATAACACTTTCTCAATATTTCATAACAATATCTGCAGTGTCGGTAAGAACATTGATGAATTTCAGGCATATATTCCACAGTTTGGAAATTATTCCACTGCAGTATTCTATCAGAAACGTGGAAAATAAGTGACATTGATCTGCCATGGCTACAAGGGTACATTGATATTTATAATAATTCATCAGTAAACCAAAATGATGATATATTGCGATACATTGGAGAGCATTTCCACTGAAATGGTGATAGATGAGCAACAAATTGCAGTTTTGTCCACCTAAAGATCCCCCGCAACTTTTCAATTTATAGATACCCCGCAACATGCATCAAAGCTTTCGATGAAGGACTAGATAACTTCTTCACCGACATAAGCTCAAAAAATTGATAGCAGATTTCCATAGTAGGTGGTATCAACTTTAACATATTGGAAGATCACGATGAAGCAACTTTACGAAAAGGGATTTGTTTCGCTCATGGATAAACTAACTATAGCAATGACTAATAAAGGTGATCGTTATTCTGTAACTGTATGTAGGTACCATCACAAGTGAAAATGATGGATCGAACGTAAAAAATCAGACATACGATCGACCTGATGAAAACAAATTTATCGACTTCATTCGCCAGCAAAGTTGGTACGATATGTACAAGGCTGCCACGAAATCATTCGTACAAAAAAATCAAAAGAAACATGGATGCCTCAACAGAAGGAATAAAAATTGTCAACAGGCAAAAAAAGATATTGATAACGAACGGTATCATTACCTACATCGATCAAAAATAGAAATCGTCTTCGACAGATTCACTCGAAGAACCCTCAAAACGAGAACCTCGAAGCCAACTTCACTAACTATCGAAATATATCGAACCTTCGATTATTACAAGAAAAAAATTATGCAAATCAACTATGGAAAGTGGTCAAAGAGTTCAGTGGTTCTAAAAGTAACAGTGACCACGTAATGGATTTGTTTTGGGTAACGGTGTGTTGATTAGTAAACCAACGAATACTTTGCATATGTTGGCAAAACCCTAGCATACCAGATCACGTCTCGAGATGGTATGGAATTCAGGAATTATAGACAGTCACAATAAATGTTCCTCCAGGAAACAACGCCATGTGAAGTTGATAAATTAATAAAGGAACTGAAAAATTGAAATGCACCTAGCCCCGATAAAATCACAAACGACCTACTGATAATATCATCCAACTACATAAGCCGCCCACTGTCATTCATTATGAATACAATATTCACAAAAGGCAATGTTCCAACACACTTTGAAACCGCGTGGTGCGCCCGGTCCATAAATCTGGCGATAGGCGGAAACTATGCTATTATCGACCAATATCGTTAAAATGTTCGTTCTTCAAAGTGTTCGAGAAAATATTAAAAATTCGAGAAACAGCGGAAACTGAGCTCGAAATAATCTGACTGGTTCAAAGAAAATATACTAACGATGAGTGACAGCACAACAACAATAGTGCTATTCACGTCATACGAACGTTACTTACCAGATTATGAAACCATTAATATGAACCAGCAGAATGTGAGAATGGCGTTATCAGTCAAATGTTTGAGAATGCCAATTGATAGTTTTCTGAAATGGGATACCCATATAACTAACACCGTGAAGAAAATTTGACGCCTTGTCTATAGGTTCTACCAGTTCAGAAATGTTGTCAGCTTTCTTCACCTTAAAAAATTATATCACGCCCTGGCAGAGTCAATACTGCAATACGGTATAATTGGTTGATGTGGTATCAGGCAACGCACTTATTACCTCTTGAAATCTTGAAGAAACGGCTGCTCAAAATTATTTTGCAAAAAATACCCACTTTCACTTCCGACAAATTATATATCAATTCTAAGCTACTCGATGGTAGGCAACTCAACTGTAAGTTTGTTCGACAGTGTATACGTGTGTTCGAACGAAATAATAACATTGATCCCGTGAATCATATATATACAACACAAGAAATAGATTCGCCACCATAAATATGATCCTGCCTCGAGCCCGCAAATCTATTGGCCAAGAGAGTTCCACATTCATTGCACCAAGCACCAAGACTATGCAATAAGATGCCCAAGACAATGAAAGGTCACATGTCTAAACACGAAATCAAAGAAAAATTTAAAGAGTTTTTCCAATCCTATCGCAGAAGAGTTTTCCATGATATTATTGAATTATAACAGAATTCATATATCCACTGCCTTCAATAGTTATTAAGAATAAAATTCACTATTTGTGATTTAGTTTGCGTGCGTTTTGTTAACCTGATATGAAACAAAATACACACTAAGGTTATACCTACTATATCATATATTATATCATCATGTATTCTGTAATGTCAATAGTTTATGTATTGCCGATATTATACAAGGTGTTTTTGAAATGAGTACATATATTCAGCTCATCGATATAATACAGTCTAAAGAATTCCCATGATATCAGAATTTTTCTAATTCTTTTAATTAACAAGAAATCTCATCCCTCAAGTTCGCCACTTTGAAACAATTTAAATGATTGAACTCCCCGTGATTGTGCCTTCCGCATGGAAATTTGAATAGAGGTGACGTCAGAATTGCAACATTATAGAAATTTGGGTGGAAAAAGGGATCTAACCCCAAATTTTATTCTGCTCCTGATATTTTTTTATTGGTGCCATTCGATAGTATACGTCGAGCTTTCTCAAGGTTTGAAATAATCGCAGTTATTGCAATGACACCCTGTATATAAAAAAAACATTAACTAGGTATCTCGATCAAAACTTATATATTAGCCGCAATTTGTATTGAATCGAAGTATCATACGAAATAATTGATGAGCTATCCATATATTCATATAGACAAGTTCTTAAATGAACTTCTTTGAATCACTGCCCTAATTTACCCCTAATGTATTTTCTACATGGGTGGAATATATTATTATTATTATTGAAATGATCCGTATGGGAGACCTAACGTCATCGGAATTTTTTCAATTACCCCATTTATCCGCTATGCAAACCGATTCTGACCTTATTGATATATTTTTTAATTCAGTTCTCCATGGATATTTCGAAAATTGAATAAATTCCAGTGTTCCTTCTGAGAAAAATATCGCGGATGTTGAGTAATCCTCAAACGTGGTACATCCTCTGCATATTCAAGGTTTCCTCATAAATAAATGTAGCAAATCGAGAATAATGATCAGACTCTAGATTCTTCAGAGCTAGTTTGGTTGAAAATTAATCAATTCAATTCTTTACACGACAGCACAATGTTGAGTCACAGGAGTTGGTAAATAATATGGTAGGTTATATTGAAAACCGAATGAGTAAATACATTTTCTACGGCTATAACACTAAATTGCTCTTGTTTCACTGTGTTCGATACATCGATGAGGTACTTTGTATGCCATCAATTTTATTTCCGTATCTGATATCACAATGACTCCAGCTCTGTCTAATAGATGAGCATTACTTGACAGGAGATCAGATGGCTACAAGACAAAGAAATCGAAAATGCCGCTGTTGTCAATTGAAGCCGTAGAAAAATTATAGTGTATAACTTGCACGGAATGCTAATTCCTTATTCGAATGATTGCAGCATTCGCCTATAGCTCATGCTGCAAACTTCATTCTCGTAGAAAATCACTATCATTCCGTGCTCGTTAAACAATATACCTACTATGTTTATTCGGGCAATGACGGCTAAATGGACTGTCTGACGGGTTATACATGACTGTTCATTCAGCGAAAATCACCAAATCGCCCTGTAATGAAATTTTGAAGGGACGGCAAGTGGCGTCATCTATTTCCTGTGTCAAATGAGCTATTCAACATAACCTGCATTATTTGTTGACAAATTTTTTTCTTGTCAGCCTGTCACTCATTGTCACTCGAGATTGGAGAGCTTTGTTCGAGATACCAAGTAAAACTGTGAAAAGGCCAACAAAATGAAGTGGTTAGGAGTGTTCATGCCAAATAACGCTATTATAGGCATAAATAATAATGCCATCCAAGTGGAAATCATCTTCGTCAATAGGTAAGGACATGTTCAATTATTCCATTGATTGAATTTTTAACTGCCTAATAAGAGCCATGGTAGCTCTAATAACCAGATACTGCTGTATTCTCAAAGTGAAATGAACTGCAACATTTCATATTGTTTCACAAAATCTGTGATCTCAAGTGATATTTCTTAATTTGTATTTTCAGGAAGATACTGAATTTTCTCAACACAATGTTGAAGCAGCTCTTCATGAGGTTTGATTGAATGATGACTGGAGACATTCAATTCTGATGATGCTATCTATGCATAACCAGAATATTTACTATATAAGGTGAGCTTTGTGAACAATTGTTTAATTAGGTGAGGGTTCAGAAAAATAATCAGGCATTTTAACTACATTATCAGGTATCTCCATGAATAGCAAATTAAATATCAATTCATCATTTCATACTTATATATTTCATATCAGATATACAGATAAATTGTATTGCAAAATTGATAGAACTATGCCAACTTCAAAATCATTGAATGTTCTATAGCAACATTTCTTTATAGGTTCTGGGGATGGCAACACAATGAATATAAAACGGCTTGGATATGGGATCTTGACTTTGGAGGATGAAGCTAGGTTACCTGGAGATCCTTTGGACACTGGAAATAAAAGAGGAAGATGATATATTATTGTGTATCCCACAATTTCTATTATCTGTTCAGAAATCAGCAGAGAAGCATGTTTTGAGTTCAAATATAAGCTCA